CTCTGGCTACGGTGGGTGAATCACGGCCCTGGGCCTGCCTGGCCCTCTGGGGCCCTGGGAGTGGGAGAAGGGTTGCTGCAGGGAAGGACAGGGAGTTTGGAGTCTACTTCTGAGAAGAGAGGATATCTTGCCCTCCTGCCTCCTCAGAATCTCACCACTGAGAGAGTTATTGCCTCGTGCAACGCCTTTTCCCTTGTTCACTTTTCAAAGCTGGCTTAGTGTCACCTTCTCCAGGCAGCCCTCCGTGATAGCCCTCAGCCTGACCTTTTTTGGTCCTCAGCTAACAGGACAAAGCCACGTGGGTGGCTTTTCCCTGTGTCATCATCCGGGAGCTTCTGTCACCATCTTGAATTCCTGCAACCCAGATGCTGGGCGCTAATGCACAGTTATTGCAAGCTCACTGTGTCTGAGTCGGGCCTTGGGCTAAATGCCTTCCTGGAGGTCGTGTTAATGCTCGTGACTGCCTACCCTATGGAGGCAGGATCCTTGTCCCCCTGTTACAGATGAGGGAGAGGGTTCAGAGAGGTGAGTGTCTGAGCAAGTTTTCCTATGGTTACTGAGGGACAGAGAGGTTGAGTGTTTCGGGGCTGACCTTTCTTCCTTGTCCTGCTACAGGGGAACCGTGAGGAGGGAGGAGAAGACCGGGAACGGGCCCGGGAAGATGCGCAGGTGAGACCCCGGCCCCCCGCCCCCTCCCCAGGGACTCCAGCTGACATCTGTCCTTGTGGGGCCCTGGCCGTCTCTGAGTGGGGAAGGTGTCTGGCAGGAGCGTAGCTGGTTTGACTGGCGGACACTTAGACTCTGGGCCCCTTGCACCTCTCTACCCTTAGAAGTGAGATGATGACGTTTTCCAGAGCTTTCAGAAAGATACTTAGGAGGGTGGCGCTGATCCTTCTGACGTTTCCTGTGCAAAGAGCGGACCTTGAGCCCTAGACCCTCAGAGCTAGCAGGGACTTACGGATTGTCCAGGCCATGTTACATTTGGAAAATGGAGGCCCAGAGAGGGTGAATGACTTCTGGACGTCACACAGCAAATCAGTGGGCCAGGTGGAATTGACCCAGAGGGAGCAGGTCGGGGAGCTTGCTGGGAAGGGAGTGAATGTTACAGCACCATTAGAGCTAAAGGATGCTTTGCTGTAACCTGACTCCTACAAAACTGCTAGAGTGTCTGAGCACTGAGTATGATGCTGGGGCTACTTCATACTTTGATATGCCCCCTTTTTCTTACTTCAGGAAAATGAAGCTCCTTACCTATCCAAGGGTAAGGTTCCCACATGGTCATGGTGTGATTTGAACCCAGGCCATACTTAATACCATTTAATATCCTCCAGGACCCAGTAGGCTAATTTCTCTGCGGCTTCCAAACAAGGTAGCTGCTGGTGTCTGGTTGTCCTGCCCCTGGTTTGACATATGGTTGTCGGAAACTGCAGGATTCCATTCAGATAAGGTGCTGCAGATGCGTTATAGTTATGTTTATGGAGTCTGGCCTGGGAACACAGCCCCCTGGAGTGGCTTGCTGAGGTCGCATTTCATTCACTCATTCGACAGATATTTTTTAAGTGCTACTATGAGCGGCCCCATTGTGCTGTTGAGGGTCTTTGAACCTGGCTTCTTCCTTAGAGCTCACCCCAAATCCGTCCTGCACCCTGAAATTCACCCTCCAGGGAATTCTGCCTGGTGCCTGGTCTACCTATAAGGCGATGCTTCTAGTTGCTGCCAGCAGGGGGCAATGGTGGGCCTCGCTAGTGGCTGCTTTTCTGGAGAGAAGGGCAGAGAGAACCTGGGTGGAGTCAACCAAGGGAGCAAAGCCGCGCCCTGCCCAACTCGGCTGCTTCTCCAGATTCACAGATACTAAGACCCTGATTTTAGTGTGGACTCATTTTCTTATTAGAAATATTTTATTTCTCAATAATACATATTTTGTAGAAACTTTAGAAAATAGACAAGCACCCCCCCACAAAAAACCCTTAACCTACTAGTTGTAATTATTGGTACTATCTTAGAGTATATCATTCTAGTTGTCTTATTTACATATATAAAAATGGATTTCTGATTTGTGACAGGTAAAAATGAGTATTCAGTGGATACGGTTACATATCATTTTAAAAAAATCAACAGCATCATTTAATGGCTAAATACTATTTCATTTAGAAATCTACCAAACTTTTATTTAACCAGCCCTCTCCCTAGTAGCAAAGTCTTATCACATTCATGATTATTTTTTTTTGCCTTAGAATAAATTTCTAGAGGTGAATTGAGAATGCTGGAGGAGAATGTTTACAAAAATTGAAGACATTCAATGTGCAGAACTGAGTTCCCCCCTAAAAGAATACTGCACATTAGTGCTTGGCCGTGCGTGTTTGCTGGTCTTACACCTCCTCCTTCCCATACTCTCATTCCGGCATCTAAACACCCTCAAGCTCTTGGAAGTCTGGGTCTGTTGTGAACAGGTGACATATATATGTTCAGTGTTCACCTGTTGTCCCACAGTACTTATAAATAGCTTCCCTTTCACTCTCAGTGTCCCAGTGTGAGTAATAAATAACATAGGTGATCTCATTATTATAGACCCAGAGTGAAATGAAGAATTGTGACCATTTATAGATATTTCAATTGCCAGATTATTTATTAACATAACGGCTTTACTGAAATATAATTCATATCCGTACTGTTGACCTACTTAAAGTATACAGTTCAGTGGTTGTTAGTGTCTTCACAGTCTTGTGCAACCATCACCACGATAATTTTAGAACATTTCACCACCCCAAGAAGAAACCCGTACATATTGTAGTTCCCTCTTGTTTCGTCCCAACCCCCCCCCAGCCTTAGGCAACCACAAGTCTACTTTTTGCCTCTACAGATTTGCCTATTCTGGACATTTCATATAAATGGAACCTTATAATATGTAGCCTTTTGTGACTGGTTTCTTTCACTTAATGTAATGTTTTCAAAGTTCGTCCATATCATAGCATATATCAGTACTTCATTCCTTTCCATTGCCAAATCATATTTCATTGTATGGATCTATCACTTTAAAAAAAAAATCCATTCATCAACTAACAGACATTTGGGTTGTTTCTGCGTTTTGGCTATTATGAATAATGCTGCTATAAACATTTGTGTACAAGTTTTTATATACACATATGTTTTCATTTCTCTTGGGTATATATCTGGGAGTAGAATTGCTGGGTCAGATGATAACGCTATGTTTAACTTTTGGAGAAACTGCCCTGATTAATTTTGGCACGAAGTAGCAAAGCTAGTAAAGGAAAGCTTTGGGCTGAACATCTGGAAAATTATTGTAGTAACCCACTCACTTTTCATATTACAAATACTATAGTCTTAAAGATGCTTTGAAAATAACAAATATATCTGGGGGTTCTCTGATCCAAATAAGTGAAAAATCTTTTTTTTGTTTAATTTTTAAAAACATCTCCTTTTTAAATAATAATACTAGACTTTTTAGCATAACAAGAAAAATGGTGGTAAAATACACATCATAAAATTTACCATCTTAACCTTTTTGTAGCGTACAGGTCATTGGCATTAAGTACATTTATGCTGTTGTGCAACTGTCTCCACCATCCATCCACTAAAGTCGTTATCTTGCAAACTGAAAGTCTATGCCCATTAAACAGTAACTACCCCTTCCCGTCCCCCCAGCCCCAGCCCCCAGCAGCCACCATTCTGCTTTCTGCCTCTAGGAAGCTGACTGCTCTGGGTATCTCCCATAGGTGCAATCGTGTAGTATTTGTCCTTTTCTAACTGGCCTATTTCACTTAGCATAATATCCTCAAGGTTCAACCAGGTTGTTTTTAATATGGAAAAGTATAAATAAGAAACAGAAGCATCCCATAATCCTAGTAGCCCTGATAATGCCTACTGGGCTTCAAAACAAAAAATAAAAATAATGTAACTTAAAATTTCAGAAAAAATAAAATGCAAAAGCTCTTCCCCCGAGTCCTTCTCCTTAAAGGTGACCACTGCCACCAGTATGTTGCCTGTCCCTCTCGCACAACTTCCCAGTAAGTGTATAAGAGCAAGTGTGCAGTTACCTTTTTTTTCTAGAAGGAGCACTGTTGTATACAACATGCTGTGCTTGACTTTTCTGCTTAATTTAAATGGAAACTCTCTCCTTATGAGCCCTGTAACCCAGTCTAATTCTTTTTACTAGTTGTGTGGATTTCCATTACAAGATGAACCATAACCTGTTTAGCAAGTGTTTTCTCTATTACAAAGAATGACACAGTGAACGCCCTGTAGTATATCTTGGAAGACTTTCGCCAGTTTATTTGTAAGGGAAATTCTTAGCAACATAGTTTGATCAAGTGGCAAGTGCATTTTGAATTTTAATAGACACTAATTTATATAAGGAAAAAGAGATTTCTAAAGCATTCACTTATTGAGAAGTTTATAAAAAGGATGGTTTCGATCTGCCCAATAGAACAAAGCGTTCGGCAGAATTTCAGGGAAAGAGGCAAAGGCGGGACTCAGTCGGTGTGCGCAGGGCTGGCTATGTTTTATCCCTGGGCCCTCCAAGTCACAGCTATTTGCCTAACAAAATAGTGTTCTAACCTCAGAGTTCTGTGCTCGGCATAATGTGGTGATGAAAATCCACCCTTGTGAGATGTCTTGAACAGCTGGCACTTCCCCCCCTGATTGGCTGCATGTCCCATCCCCTCCAGGCCTCAGCTTTCCTGTCTCCCGTCTGTAACACAAGGGGGTCCATGACAGGTCTCCTGAGGACCCTGCAGCTCTGAACATGGTAAAGGGTGCAGGGAACTCGGCACGTCTCACATCCAACTTCTAGGCGGCCCTGAGGGGTCTCCCTAGGTTGCTGGATGTGAGCGCTCTCTCCTGGGTCCTCTTCTTACCCCTCCCGTAGACACTTTCACCATTAAAACCCAGACCTGTTCCCATTTTGAGCTCCAGCCCTGTCCCTGTCCCCCATGGTGGGACCTCTGTACCCTGAGCCAGGCTCCGTTGCCTGTACCCCAGGGCCCCCAGAGACCCCGTCTCCAGGCCTCCTCTGACTCGTGCCTTCCCCTCTCTCCTCTCTCCTCCCTGCTCTCAGGTGGCTGCTGAGATACTGGTGAGTGCCCTGTTCTGCACGGATGCTCACTGCCTGAGTGAAGTCTGAGTCTGGCTGTGCCTCTGGGCGGGGCTGAGCCGGCAGAGTCAGGCAGTGATTTGGGGGCGTCCCCCCCAGGTTCTCTCTCTCCCTTTCAGGGCTTCCAGAGAACCCTGCTGGGTAAAAAATGGGCCAGGCGAGTG